CTTTGGTTTGAGTTCTAACATCAAGACTGCCCGATTGTGCAGTCCGTCTGCCTTCTGATAATAGGGTTTCACAAGCCAGTGTCTTGGGTATGGGTATGTCGTTAGTTTCTGTGGTTTAATGACTTCACACTCAATGTGCTACTGCTCTGCATTTGCATGACGCGGGTATCGGACTCACTACATGTTAGCCGGTGACACGTAGCTAAATTTGTCACTTGTCTTGGATCTTCACATTTCTCCCGTAGGCATGGTTTGACTGAAAAGTAATAAGTTGATGAACATGTACGTTGCATGGAGATGGCAGTGGGCTCTCAGAAATAGAGGTCATTTGCGCAAGTGCGTTCTTGCGTATGCTAGCTAGTGAACAACCACATCATTTAAATTAAGCGACTACGGCACCACTGGAAAGCCTTTGAGGATACAGATAGCTAAACATATGCATACACAGATCTGTTGGCTTGCAAACCTTGCGCATTGTTATATCTAGATGGCAGTAATGACTGGAAATGGTAATTTTCACACTTTGATTTCAAGATGGCGTTGATGTTTACAAGGCTCATTAGGGTATCGTTTCTTTTTTTGATCACTGTGCTCTTTGAAGCGCCGCCATTTTCTACTGTCAGACACAACTACATGGTCATTGTTGTTACCTGATACAGGCACCCAGCACGGCCAGCCCCGTGCAGCTTCCACAAGCCCAGCCCCCTCCTGCGGCCGTGCCCCCGTCCACGGACCTCCTTGGGCTGGACGCCGCCCCGGTGGCCCAGCCCGCCTCGGCCTTTGGCATGGGCATGGCCATGGCCATGCCCGTCGCCCCCGCAGCGGCCATCAATAGCTTGGCAGCGCAGCCGGCTGCAGCCCAGAACACCCTCCTGGACATCTTTGATGCCCCTCCCCAGATGCCGGCTGCGGTCCCCAGCACCGCTGCCGCCGACACCGGTGCCCTGTCGCCGGGCGCTGAGGAGAATTTCTTGAAGTGAGTTTCTTTAACTCAAACTACCTCAAGCCCCTCCAACTCCAACTGTAGGTTTTGTCCAGTTTGGGCTGAGTCATTCCCATAGAGTAGGAATTTCTTGCTTCACTTTGTTGCATTAGGGGACAAAGGCCCAGGGTGATAGTGCTAGATTTGGAGTGGAAAAGACTTGAGTTCATTCTTTTGATACATCAGTTTGGCGTCCAGTAAAACTGGACATTAAGCAGGTTGAAAAATGTTGAGGGTTTTTTTTTTTACCAGTCTGCAACGTGCAAGATTGTTATGTTAGGCCTTGAATCCAAAAGTGTCACTGGTGACCTTAAGTTTGTTAGGCTGGTCACATTTCTTGCTTGGGTACCGTGTGGGGTAGTCCAAACGACCCAGCTCGAAGGATGTACGCTGAACATTACATGTACAGCAGCTGTAGACAGTGAAAGAAGGGAGAGTTCAGAAGGGTCCAGTAGGACTGTTATGTTTTATTTTACCCTCTGTCAAAGGGAAATACATTGCCCTAAAAGTAATGTTGCTACAGGTTATAGCTAGGCTAAAAAATGCAAGTGATTGTTTGGTATTCAGCCCATAATCCTAAACAGGTCAGAAAACTGAGAACTTTTTAGAAGTATGGTTGAGCACAGGGTATGGAAATGTCAGAAATATGCTTTGATTGTTATAGCTGATCCTGTCTTGTTTATTTCTCCTCCCCCCACCGTAACCCCCCCTCCCCTAATTCTGATTCCAGATTCATTTGTAAAAACAATGGCGTCCTGTTCGAGAACGACCTGCTGCAGATTGGCGTCAAGTCGGAGAGCAAGTCCATGTACTGTCGCCTGGTGCTGTTCTTCGGCAACAAGACCAGCATGCAGTTCTCCGACTTCAGCTCCACGGTCACCTCGCCGGATGACTTGGCGTCCAGTATCCTTTGCTTTCGCTGTCCCGTCACCAAACCCAAGCTTCGTGAACAAATTTGATTTGAGCCTTGCAGGATCTTCAGTATCTTCAACCTTTAGACTGGTTTTTCAAGCTTTCAAAAAACAAACTCATGTTAATACTGGCTTCCCCGATTGCATCAGAATCAGCCGTTAAGGTTTGCACTCTTCTGATTTTAGACCGGTTTGTAGAACTGTTGAACATAGCATGTTTGTATGCCGAGCAGAAAGGAGATGAAAACCAGTCATAAGCAATACCCATAATGTGATATTTTAGCTGGTAACCTTGTCTTTGCCCTTCGTTCTTCCCAAATGTCCGCGCTTAAGCTGAGAAATCTGTACGTTGCAAACTGTTGCACCGTGACAGCCCAAGAAACTTAGCATATCTCTGCAGCCGTTCCAGTGTCTCTGTTTTCAGTGCACTATGTGACCCTTGACTTTTGACCCCAGGGCTTGTCGTCAAGGCACCCCCGGTGAACAGCATCATAGACGGTGGGGCCCAGGTGCAGCAGATCATCACGGCCGAGTGTGTGCAGGAATTCACCGTGGCGCCGCTGCTCAACATTAGATTTGTGTAAGTGACACCAAGCTCCTCTTTAACCCTAACCCTGCCAGACTCAGCCAGGCGGTGTATAAGTCTCGTGCACTTTGTTGCACTGGGCAACCTAAGTCAGCCGAGTAAACTTTCCATGTTGAGACAATGGGAGCGAGCTGGTCCCCATTGATCAATGCCCTGATTGGGTCTTGTGATGGCTGGCAACCACAGCCTCCCAGGCCGTTATGGCTGGCAACCACAGCCTCCCAGGCCGTTATGGCTGGCAACCACAGCCTCCCAGGCCGTTTGGCCTTACGTACAGTCGACCTGTTGGATCTTGTTGTGCTGGTCGGGCAAGCCACTTTGATAAGTGATGCAGATTGGTGCGTCTGGCAGGGGTTCAAGCCCAAATACCCTGGAGTGATTAGACTAAAGAAGGGGATTGAGAGAAAGGACACTGAGAAATAAGTCGGTGTCTTCCACCCCAAAATCAGTGCCCCTCAAGTTTGATCACATGCTTTCCACTTACGTTTATGTATGCACCCCTTAAAGATTAGTATAAGCATATTCCCTTTAAATCCAGGCCTGACCAAAGAGTGATATACACTGCACCCGATTAGTAGACGGGAGCAAGGAGTTGGATTTTGCCAATTTTGGACTCGCTCTCTCTAAACCACCAATTTATGAAGCGTTTTTTGTTTTTTTCTCAATTGATTATTGAAAACTAATAGCTGAAACTTGCACAGGGTGTAATAATAAGTGCAGCACTTTTGGCAGCATAGGTTGATTGGGCATGGCTCTGCACGCCTCACTTCAGTCTTGTCAACCCAAACCCCAACGCACAAGGTTGCTGAAGTCTTGTACCCTGTGACCTGTCTCAAGTCTCTCCCTTTGCTATTGCAAGAACATCAGAGACCCATTGGTGTCGGTCCCTGCTCCTTCATTTCTCTGTGCTTTTAACCATTTAACGTCTTAACTCTGCTCGCCTCGTGTGTAGCTTACAGCAGACAGGTAGCCAGTCTCCCGCATCTAACCCTGACTCAAGGTAACGAGGATGATCCGTGCAAAAGTTTTGATTTCTCCTTCAGTCCAATTTTTTTTTGTATTTCTGCCGTGTTGTTTCAGTTACTCGCTGAATAAGTGCGCTCTTTTTCGTTCCTAGTCCGGTGGCATTGTGTCCTTTCTTTACACCCTGGAGATTTTTCTCTGGTCACTTTCTGAAATCCAATAGAGTCCAAGAAGAGCTATTAAAAAAGAGCAAAGCTCCTTGGATCTTTCAGAATCCAAGAAGCTACAAAACCCAGTGCAGCAAAGTTAACTCTTTCTTCACTCTCTGGTACCTATGAAGTCCAAACTGACTGGGCGTACCGTATACCGATGGTGTTGGATGGATTCGTACTGGCGGTTTGTTCCCACTGGAAGTACAATGTATCATTCCACCTCTGAAACGGATTTGGCAAAAGGTTCATGTACTCCAACCGTGAAAGGAAATGCATTCCTAGAGGGGCCAAACCATTACTTTTGTGAAAATGTCAGATAACAATTCAAAAGAAAAGAGGTTTTCAGAACACTGGTGTCACAATAAAGGAAAGGTTTGTGATAGCACCGTGCAAGGATATCTCTTTTGTGAGTATGTAGTGTGGTTCTGAAAAGAGTACTTGCCAGTTCTTATCACAACCGCTCATGTAAAAGAGGTATCCTGGCATGGTGCCACCGCAAACCTTTACTTTACTTGACATCTTCACCGTGGAAAGCTTCCAAGATCATCTGGTGTCATGTTCCATTCGCAATCCATGGATTGACGGTAAAGGTTTTAAGCCTGTACTCCAGGGCTGGACAGTCTGCATTTCAAATCATGCATCACATGCCAGTAGAAGCAACTTCCTGGTGAAGGGATTTTGTTGTCGACATTTCGATTTGCTTTATATTTCATTTCATCTCTTCTCCAGTCAGGCCAGTTCCGTGGGCTTTGCTGAGGGTTTTATTTTTCTGTCATGTCCTGCTTCAGTGCTTCATTGAAAAGCCTTAACGTGTACCGCGCATCTCTGGATACTTTTGGATGCAGAGTTTAGACTGGAAAGTAGCAAATCCAGCCCAGAAACTTTAAACAGCAGTTCTTTTGAAGCTGTAACGTTGCTGTACCGCATAAAAAGATAAAAACTGCATTGTTTCAGTTGCCAGCCGTTTTGGTTGATGTTTTTTTTTTTACAGTTTTGCTCTGTTTCAGTTGTCATTGTAGCAAAGTTGAAATTTTGAATTTTTTTTTAACGGTAGATCAAAACGAAAACTGGTAGTTACATGTAGATATCAAAGGGAGCGTTTTCATTTCACCTGAACAGCCGGAGGCTGACCACTCTTTTCTCCATTTTGTTTTGTTTTGTGATGAGACTTCGGACATTTCTCTAGTAATGTTTTCCATTCATTTTAATGTCAGTTTTTAAGAAAATGTAACATAGTGTTCTCAAGAAATGCCCATAAAGACAGGTCGGCCAAAAATGTTAAAACTTTTCCACTCGACATGTGGCCAATGCAAGCATGATGGTATGAGTTATTGTGTATAAAGTGACGAACGTGACAAAACCCCTCGTCGGATTGAACTAGAAACTTCACAGATGTGCTCGTGTTGAATGTCTTTACATACCTGCCGAGTTTCACAAAGATCGTTTACCTGTTGTGTACATACATGTATGTAGGGTCCTACCAGCACCTGTTGAACCCCCGCATGCCCCAACGAGAGAAAGGTACTGTGTACAACATTGACGGCATGGCATGGCATGGCATGACGGGCTAGCTGCAAGGCGGGATGTCTCTTTCTCGAATTTTCGTTTGCTTTTTTATTTTTAGTTAATTTTGGTTCATTGCATATTAACCTCAGTTCACCCTGGACTGGAACTTTGCAAGTGTAAAAGAAAATCCCAGAACTAGAGATAGGTGGGCCTCACTGGGATGGAGCCGAGTTTTGCCTTTTGGGGTGATGGCCTTCAGGTGGATCTTGGTAGCTTGATAGCATTTCAGGTGGACTCGTTAGAGCGAGAAGGTCACTTTACGATATGTATCATATATTGGAGTCAGGTTTAGGTCAACAGTTTCTTTTGCAGGCGGTAATTTGCATGCATGTCGTCCTTAGGGACGGACGACAGTGTTGGTGTAGCATGCAACCATGGCAATTATTAACCAGAACCCAGGGGTGTGATTTCTCAGGATTTTTCTGGATATTAGCAATTTCTAAGCCCGACACGTAAGACTTTTAATGGTCAGATTTTGCTACTTTGTTTTGCACTTGAAAAAAATCTCGGCCATTTTGCAGAGAGCTAATGCCTTGCTGGTTTTTAAAACCACTGAAAGTCCCAGTTTCAGTGGTGAATGTTTCGTGGATTTCTTTTCGCTGCCCAATCTCACCTCAGCAAATCGTGTCATATCTAATGTTCAAGCTTTTCCCAGCAAACTCAATGTTTAAGCAAAAAGTGTTCCAAATAGAAGCGCACAAAGCTTCCGGGTTAGGAGAGAACTTGAAAATGTGAAATACCGTAAAAGAAACAGCGTTTGCTTTTCACAAACACATGGTGTTCCCACCAGAATGCAGCCCCGGAATGTTGCACTTTCCAGCATCGGTTTCACCGCCAGAGAAGGTACAAAAGTGCAAAACAAGCAAACGCAGAATAGTTCTAACCGAGAGAAGTAGCATCCTTCCGTTGGAGCCTCCAGGACTGCAGTCAAGTCCATCACAAGTCCTCTCAAGTCTCAGCGAGTCTGTCACAAGTTCATCCAGCCTTCCAGCTACACGTTTTCAACTGAACTGTAACGGAAGCATTCCTTGTGATCATAGCTTATCCTGTGGTACCTGGCTGGTCTTGTCATCTGGACCTGCGAAAGAATTCACGACTGGACTTGTGATGGACGCGACCTCATCCCCGGTGGCCTCCATTTCTCAAAATTGCTAAGTGGAAATTGGAATGCTTGCCAGAAGTCAAACTTATGTTGATTTTGCCAGATGAATTGCACCCATGAATGAAAAAAGGAAAAAAAAAAACCAAACTTTTCATCAGTGGATTAAGGATTGTTTGTCTTTCTGATTTTCCAGCTCCGGAGGCTCCATGCAATACATCAACCTGAAAGTTCCCATTATGATGTCCAAGTTCTTCCAGCCCACCACCATGTCCTCTGCCGATTTCTTCACGCGTTGGAACCAGCTGAATGCGTGAGTATCAACCAGCCAACCGTTGCATGGAGCTACTGTACAAAGTAGGAGACACTGCTTAGCAGGTTTATGCGCTAAGTACAAATTCTGCAGGGAACCGCCTACAAAGAAATATGCTGTGACCGTACATTTTGGCTGGTTACCTGCTTTGACATAGTAATTTCATTTCTGGTCCATTAAGCTACTTTGTAAATGTAGGTGTAAGATTCTTGTCTTAAAGACTTCAAACAGTTAAAAAGCTGTCTATAAATTCTTTTGTTTTGATCGTTTTGCTCGGTCGGTCTTTTATAGACAAAATGAAAAAGGTACTCTGCGAGAAAGTCGTCACTTCCTAATGATTATTTGTTCAGGCTGAGCAATTGAAAGCAAGAGTAGTTATCATGTGGCTGAGCATGCCGGAGTGCTGTAGGGAATGGAATTGTATGGAAAGAGTCAGCTTGTTGCCTTTCAATACGGAGGGTTCACAATAGTGCGCCACCAAGAGTTTGCAATACGTTGGCCATTCATAATGGCAAAATTTGTCGATTCTTTCCAAACGCGCACATATTTCGCGTGTTGTGATTGGCCAATGCGTTGCAAACTGTTGGTGGCGCACTATTTTGAAACGGCCGTATTGTGGGCCAGCTATTCAGGGGTATTAGTAGAAGTTGTTTAGCTATTGCATTTCAGCACGATAACAAGCTAGTTGTGACTCCTTTTCTGTGTTGCAGACCGGCGCATGAATATCAGAACATCTTCAAGGCCAATTTCCCCATGGACAGAGACGGCAACAAGACCAAAGTGAGTGTGCTGCTTTTAATTGAGTCCATCACAAGTCTGTTCTTAAGACCAGTCATAAGACAAGCCACAAGACCAGTCACAGCAAGTCACAAGACCAGTCAGAAGACTTATCATAAGATCAGTCAGAAGACTTTTCATAAGACCAGTCACTTATCATAAGACCAGTCAGATGACTAGTTATAAGACCAGTCAGAAGACTAGTTATAAGACCAGTCATAAGACTCACCATGAGACCAGTCATGAGACTCACCATGAGACCAGTCATAAGACTCACCATGAGACCAGTCATAAGACTCACCATGAGACCAGTCATAAGACTCACCATGAGACCAGTCATGAGACTCACCATGAGACCAGTCATGAGACTCATTATGAGACCAGTCATAAGACTCACCATGAGACCAGTCATAAGACTCACCATGAGACCAGTCATGAGACTCACCATGAGACCAGTCATAAGACTTACCATGAGACCAGTCACAAGATTAGTCACTCATAAAACCAGTCACAAGGCTTAGTCATAAGACCAGTCACAAGTGACAGGATGAGCACTTTAGCAGTGAGAATGGGAATGCCTTTGTCATCGTTCATTTGAACTGAGGTTAAAACTGGTTGACTTGTGATGGACCTGCAAGGACTTGTCATGGGCTTGTGCCGGAACCGAATTGATGAAAAAGCTTCTTGTACCTAAAGCAATGTGAAATATTGTGGCTCTGTCCTATCAAGCTGACCTCGTCAAAACACTGCAACACCAAGGGGTAGATTTTGAAAGTACGAGTGGGGCTATAAATGCATCAGAACTTTATTCAACACTCCCCTATTCATTTGGAATGGCTTGCACTGTGTAATTCGCATCAATGGATTTTTTCCCCCCAAAAGTTGATGGGCTTTGGGATCGGTCTCCTGGAGGGCGTTGACCCCAACCCAGACAACTTCGTGTGCGCTGGCATCATCCACTCCAGGTCTGCCCAGATAGGGGTCCTGCTACGCTTGGAGCCCAACAAGGCTGCCCTGGTAAGTGGACACTGGACAAGTAGCCACGAGGTGCGATGTTTAAGTGGGGACCATCTCTTGATTTCGTCCAAGATGGATTTTGTGGATGGCAGTGTGTCCCGCGGGTCCAACTCGTCGTGCACTCTCGTTCATGCACGCGTATAGGGCTGTGCCAAATATCTGGATATCCGAGTATTCGATCAATTATCGAATATTCAAAAACTGTTTTCCGAATTTGAATATTCCAATGCAAAATTCATGAAAAGGAAGGGAAAAGTTTCTGTTGTTTTAAATGAGAAAAACTGCTCTATGGAGGCTTTTTTCGGGCAGATTCAAAAAGTAAATTATTCATTAAAAAATTGAAAAGGAATAAACATTTTCAACGGGGCAAGAAGTATTGTTCATCTCTTAAATCTTGCTAAATCGTGGCTGGAGATATTCCTAGACGTAAGAAGCTATTACAGTTTTTATAATGTACAATTGTGTGCATTATTGCAACTGATTTTGTACATGGTTTGTTCATCAATAATCTGCAGGTCGGTACGACCGAATATTCGGGTATTCGATCGAATTGAAGGTTGAATATTCAAATAGTGAATTATTTAAATTGACTCAGTCCTACACGCATACAGAGTAGAGTAATGTGCACCAACTGATTGGAAGGGTTGCGATTTCTTAGGAATTTTCAACCCCCCACAATTATGGGTTTTCAGTGGTTGAGTCATGCAGTATTTGAAGTGGATTTGCTTCTGATGCCAGTAGACAAACTGTGATACTTAGGATTTAGATTCTGATCAGTTTTATTCAAATTCTTGCCGCATTATGTATAAAAACCATGCCAGGTATGGATGTAGCCAAGTTCTATTATTTAGACTAGCCACCAGTGAGAGAACTTGCGCCTTGTTGGCTATTAAAATACCTGAAAAGTTTAATTTTTTAAATTACTGTCATTGATACAACCCCTCTGCCGGATGCTTCCTGGATTTTCTTCGTTCTACAATCTCACCCCTGGAATGAGCTGAAACTCATCAGGCCTTTGTAGGTCCGTCAGGTCGGCCCCAGATGAGCTACGCCCTTGTCTTGGTGATTGATCGTTACTTGTTAGAATTTTTAGCTTGTGTACGAATACTCCAAATCTGTTTACTCTTTTTCTTGGCTGCAGATGTACCGACTGACGTTACGCAGCAGTAAAGATGACGTGTCGAAGGAGTTGGGCAGACTCTTGTCCAGCCAGTTCTGAGCAGCTGTAACCGGATCGATCCAGTTCCATAATGCAGGCCCTTTCTGTAGTCGCGGAGTTGGCTCGGAGCTGACCCTCGACCGGTTTGATCCAGTTTCCACTCGGCCTGCTCTTTGTACACTCGTGCGCGCATTGGAAAGCCACTTGCAAAAGCTGCCTCAAACCGGTTTGCACTGGTCCCATCTGCAGCCTGTCCCTGAGTTGTCTTCAAAAACTAGCCAGGGGTGGTTGGTGCTGATTCGATTCAGTCCTTTCATGCGTTAACCGGTGGGGAGCAGTTTGTGCTGGTTCGGGCCGGTTTGCAGCAGCTTCTGAACCAGTTCAGACCGGTTTACAGCACCCCCGCTGGCCATTATGTTATGTCTGTGCAGATGTTATAGTTTTGTATCAAATAGTTAAACAGGGATGCGTCGGGTAAAAGTCGCTTTTATTTAGTTTCAACTGGCATTCATGTCTGTCACAGGCAACTGTCAAAGGACAAAAGGCCGACAAAACTTAAAATATTTTTTCTTCAGTTTATAAATCATTTGTTGTATAATTCATTGTTTCTTACATTTGTGCTCTAAGTTCAGCTTATCTTATATAAAGCCAATCTAGTCCATCTAAAGTAGTGGAGGTACTGTAGGTCCTGCCGTCCCTGTCACCCAATCCTGCTGAGGCATCTCAAAACTGTCACAAATTTAGAAGACTTTAAAAAAAGTCGACACCTGTGTTTGTAGTCCACGTATGCACCGGATGATTTAAGATGAGGAAAGAATGTCTCTTCTCTCTCTCAGCGTTTGGGAAATTGTCTTTATATTTAGCTCAGCGGCCTAGTAAGCATTATCCTCAGAGCCTGTTCTGTGATTAGAGGTAAGAGGATTCTGGTGGAACGTCTGAAGCGTCCAGTTGTTGAAGGGCGTTTGTACAGTGTACAGAATTCTCTGCAGCACCCGGCTCTTATAGGGTTGTCTGCGGAAGACGGAAAGGGAGGCCACACAGAACGACTTGCATGATATGCGTATTATGCTCAGAAAGTGCTCAGTATGTACTTTATGCATTCTGCGTGGCTTCCTTTTCCCTCTACCGCCATCAATGAGGTGTGTGACAGTGGGGTAACCTTTGACCTTGCCAGTTGCCATGCTAAAAACGGAGTTCGACAAGCAAACGGATATTCATGTTTAGTGCATTTTCTGACTAATCAGTCACAAGGTAAGGCCGACTTGATGTGCCGTGTGTCTTCAAAAAGCCCTGTCCCAAGCATTTCTGTGTTTTAAACGGAAAAAAAAACACCCAGCATTGCTTTGTCCATAACTGTAAGTTAGAGTGGACCTTAGTAAACTTAGAATCATGTTTATCTTCAATACGCCGTAACCGTTGTCGATCATTAACAAATTCTATTTGTATAAAGTAAACTGAGCAGTGGTTTATCCAAATCAAATCAGAAATTTATTGAAACATTATACATAGTATTGATGTAAACATGTACTTTAATGGCCAATATTTCTTTTTTTTGTAGTTTTAATAAACACTTAGTTGCTTGTGTATTCAGCATGTAGCGTGATGATTCCAAAGGGAAAAAAAAAGAAAAAGAAAAAAAAAAGATTTTTTTTCTCAGTTATCGGTGACATCCGCTTGATGTTTGATGTCAAGGATGTCAAGAGATGTCCCAACATTCCTCGGCTGTTGTGGAGGGTCCATTGCCACTGTTACCATCGTTTTCCAATAACTTCACTTTGATTTGTAGGAGGCCGGTGGCAGTCGTCTTTCATACCCGACTTTCAGATTGATTTTATTTTTTTGTTATTTTGTATTATTTTTGGATGAAGTTGTGGATCCAGTCCCAGATTGTCCGTGTGCAGGCCGTAGGCTGCACAGACTTAAGCTGTGCCGTAATCGTCCACCAGTGCCCATCAGTTTTATGACAAGTTGCCAAATGTTTATCAGCATATGTACAGAAGAAAGGACCATCCACACTTGTCAGTTTTTGTTGAGGTTGGCCGTTGGTCATGCGTGCCATTTTCTTCCATTTTTGTTTTATCTTGGGATTTGATGAGGTGGTTACAAAACTCAGACAGTTAAGACGTTTTTGTCAGGAGTGGTTTTTAGAATTGTAATATGTCATCAAAGGGGACTCTGACGTCATTGTGCAAAAGTGATATTTTGTAAGACCTCAAATGTGGAGACATTTATATATGTTCCAGATGCATGTTCCAGATATACATTACCGCCCTCATTAGAAATGTGCCTGGCCTTTCCTTTTTCTTTGTACAAGCATTTTTTAAAAAGCTTGATAAGTGAAAACCCCATTCTTTTCTGAATTAGGCTTCTCATAGGTAGTAAAAGTGGTTGCTCTGGAAGCTTTGTTTTACTGTCAGTGTGAAAAGGTGACAATATTCAGCTTAAGAAGTTTGGACAAATGATTGAAGTTTGGACAGATAACTCTGGTAAAAACGGCACAGGTGTAAAAAAAACTACATGTAGTAAATGGTCGATGTGTACAAAAGCTATACGACCTTTTGGAAGAGAAAATGGACACAATTTAGCAAGCACGTGTTGCGGTTGCTGTTTTCACATGATCAAATGCTGAAATGAACTGATGTAGTGTAGTGTAGATTTTAAGAGCAGGTCCGAAGGAAGAGGGCACAAGTTGATGGCAACTCTCCATGGTAACGCTTGGCAGAGATTTGTCGCCTGACTGGCTTCGGAGACCGATATTTAAATAACCATTTTCTGTAACCCATTTTGTACTGAACTGTATACACGTATTGACCACGTAAGTTTCGAACACCCCTTTATTGATGCACATCAGTGATGGAAATATGCCATGGCACTGAGGGATAGCATCGCTTAGTGTGTATATTATATTGAGTGTATCGAGTGATAATTTCTGCTGAATTAAGACCATTGGCCCTTGATGAATTGGTTCCAAAAAGGGGGCCATCATTATTGAATGTTTTATTTCTCTGTGTTTAAAAAAAATAAAATATGAGCACAGAAATTTGTGAGCTGTTGAATAAAAATGTTTATTAGACTAAGTCCTGTACACTTCCAGACTTCCTTCATACTTTTAGTCTGTGATGGTTTTGTATTAAATCTTGTGTACTTTCTGATGGCAGCCATTTTTGAAAGGTGCTGTTTTTTTACATATATATCTAACTTTCCTTATTTTTGGGAGGATGAGTTTTAATATACTGCACATGTCCTCAATTACATTTCTTGGTTTTATCTCAACTTACATTTCGTGACTTCACTGAGAAGCGGTCTTGGGATAAACTTTGTTTTTCATATACTTTGCACCTTGCTGTGGAGCGTTTCTGGCACCCCAAAACAAAATGGAATTTTACACAAAAATTGTTCTTTCTTTGGAAAATCGTTTATTGGCTAAGATTAAATTTAGCTCCCGAGGTAATAACAATGTTTTCTGTCCTGGGTGATTCATGTATATGGATTGGGCTTATTATGGGTTGAATGTTTTTGCAGTAACCTCAAAGCATAAAATGAGCTTTAACATAAATTTTTATACAGCAAGGTAGCAAAAAATACAAAACTGAAGCAATGAAAATAATCCTTTTTATACTAAAGAGAAATGGAGGAGAAATGTTTGTACATGCAAAAAAACCAGCAAAGATGGAATATGTTCATGCCTATCGTAAATACCTCCATAATTATACACATATTCAGCTTCTCTGCCACTTTCCTCTCCAAGTTGTGTTAAGCAGGGTACATAAATGCAAGTGCAAATGACCTCTGTACTCGGGGGTTCCCGCAGCCTGAAAAAGTCGTAGAATTTAATTATCCTTTAGGTGCAGGAACCCTGTGTTCTGGTGACATCCTACCATGCTTCTATGTGCAGTTTTCCAATGGAGCCAGTGGGGGCCCACGGTCCACTGCGCACCAGAGGAAAGCACACACAAAATGTGCCATCATCAACACACGGTTGCATTAATGGGTTACCGACCAACAGATGTCAGTTGATTTTCATACTTTGCCCAACTGGTTCCCCGCTCATTTGCTAAATTTGATTACATGCGATTTCTCAATGCATTGTTTTTCCCGCTCGGCAGCTCAGCGCAGACCAGGTCTGGGCAGTGTAGCACATGGCGTTCCCTGATATTAAATCACCCGATTTAGCCATCAATGGATTCTGAACTTAGAGCACAACCCCTACATGATTAAAAAACAATAAGAGAAATTAACTTCAATTCTACTCCATAATAATGCAGTGCTACAATAAAATGTCAAAGCACAATTGATTTCCTAAAAAGAAAAAAAAAGTGGGTTAAATTCCACATTTATTTGAGAAGTGCATACCACAATGATGTTAACAGCTGGCCCAGATCTACCCAATGACTGCCCTTTTTGAAAAAGATTCACTTTTGTCACATTCAAGTGAACTTGAAACAGTACAAGGGTATATTGGCAACCTCTGACCCCAGATCAGAGTAACTGGGAAATCGTTAAAGACTCATCCGAGGAGACACCATTACTGCGGTGGCGCTGTGGCAGGCACACAGACCTGACACGCACTTTCATGCATGTGGCAAATCATGACATCCTATTGGTTGAAGAAGCATAATGTGTGCATATCACCGGTCCACGAGCACTGTGCCACAGCGGTAATGGCTCCTTATTCAGGGAACCAACTTATCTGCTCCAAGCGGAACAAAAAGGGCTGTATTTTTGGTACTTGCCGCATAGGCGCATTAATAGTGGAGATCAGTGGCGCGTTTGATGCTGAGTACGCGCAATGAATTTATTCCTTAATGTATGGTCTTTGCGTATATGCAGAACGCGTGCCAGAACCCGCTTGGAAAGCTTACAACCATCTGTCTTCCTCTTTCCACTTGGCGGTGCACCTCAAATCGGGACAGATACTATACGGGCACTACAGCTATGTGCCATCATGCACGGAGTTCGGTAGAGCGTGTCACCATACTGCAGTCAGCAATTTAGACACTTGATAAAAGCATGGAGGAAGGAAACCAGGCCAGCAAACCTCCTACCGCCCACGTTGTTGAATAATAAAAAGAATACGCACCAAGACTAGAACACTGCACCTGCATGTAGATTGAAAATTTCTGAAAAGTGAACAAGACACCCAGTTCCAAAAAGGGGAGGGGCATCTCAGAATTCTGGAGTATGTACACCTTGAGTGACAGGCAAACACTTGGGTATTAAAAAGACAGATCCCCAAATCCTCGTCCAAACAATTATCCATAATAAGTATGTCACAGAGTTTCTCTATGCTAGGCCATCCTTTGCTGATATATAAATCAGCCAAGTACATGTACTGGTAACTATACTCCATAAATTCACTCCATGTTCTAGGGTTCAAGGGACACGTACACTGTGTTGACAGTAACGAAAACTATGGTTTTCTACCCAATCTAAACATATACATGTATTTCTGTCTAGTCTATGAACCACTTGTTATCCTGAAGCTGTAGGGCTATTTTTGGCACCATATTAAGCCTCACATGAATGTCTGTACGCACAGTAAATGAGGTTTCGTTGCAAGGACTATCCCCTCGTTCACCTATCACCTTTTATAATCTTGTCATAGACGGACTGCACAAAAACAGACATGCAAGACTTCCTGATACGGTAGATGTGAGAACCCTCGATATTTGCTGTTTGATCAAGACAAGGATCAGCTTTTGTTGCAAAAGTGCTCTGTGAGTTGACTTTAATGCCAAAGGGCGTGACACCGAGCAACATTCAACAACTGGATAAACATCTGGGTCATGTTACGGAGAAAAACTACGGTCCAATATATTTTTTTTTGTCCCTGTCACATGTTACATCGTACTTGTAAGTATAAAATACATTTTAAAAAAAAATTCTACGAGTGATTAAGTATAAAACATTACCTGCTTAACAAATAAAAAAAATCTGAAGTCGGTTTTATTGATATTTCCACATCAAATTAAACAGGCCAGGGATAACAGGGACACTGCTAGCAATATCAATGCAAAACGTCACCAGTTTCCTTGTTTTGGAGTGTTTTTTTCTCCAAGAATAAAAACTCTGAGGGTCTTGAAATTTGTTGCATGGATTTCCACTACAAGCTTTTTGAACGGCAGTCGAGTTTCAGGTTTTTTTTAACAATACTTATAACTGATCACATCACAAACTAAAACAGTACATATATGTATCTACCGTCTACCATTACCGAAAGATCTGTTTAAAAAAGGTCAGGTTCCAATTACTGGACATGTACACTGTACCACTCCCTTTTGAAAACCTGGTCAAAAGTGTGAATGACGTGGTATTGGTCACGTTTGCGGGAGCCCTACAGCCCTCCTGGTAATCAGAAGTGCAGCGAAAGCACCTGCTGTGAATATTTCAAAGGCGTTCTCCGTATTCCATAATTCCATGCATATCTAGCAAGACTGTTGATTTGGACTTAGGGATAATAAAATCTGCGTGACTTTTTCAAGTAAAACAAAGTAGAAATACAGGAGGTTTATATGTACGTATACAGAATTGCACAAACGTATGGTGAAGCACAGCAAAGTCTGGGTTCTTTTATGGGGGGGGGAATTTCTCCTTGATGTGGAAGACCATTACACTAATCTCACGACTATCCCTTATGTTGTGCGTGTCCATACAAGCTTTTTTTTTTTTATTGGGGCTAAATATCTCAAATCGTAAGATGTGCCTACACACAAGAATTGCCTTACTCAAAGGGGCCATATAACAAGTGTGTATAACACACTTTAAATGACAACCTGATATGTTGATAAAGCACTTCTCTTTTTTACTGAGTTTCAAACTACATGTACTAAAAAAAGTGGATCTATACAAAACATGTTGAAGAGTCACCGTCACCTGTTACAAATTTCCACTACTAATTGGACACTCCAAAACCTACTCTATGGGCAGCTTTATCAGTGGAATGATACCAACAAACTACTGCAGGGGTGTGAGTGGCTGAAAGCAGCTAGCAAACAGCTGAAATGTAAAACGTTCCCATACTTTTGTAGAGACCAGGTGTACAAAAAAGCTGACATTCAGGGTCATCTACGCAAAAAAAAGCTGAAATCAGCTAAAAAACTGATTCTCACACCTCTGCTACCTGTCCCCATTATGTGATTTGCGGGATATAACCAAACGGCATGCAAGATCCTTTCACCTCACAACCGGTGAAGTAAAATTTTCATTACAAGTTTTGAGTAAACTACGTGCCCCATTTTGGGTACATGTAGACAGACAATGCACATGACAGGCAATAGGAGACGGTTTTTAATAACAAAAGAATTCTGTTTGTTCAATTGATTAATATTTCAGTTTCAAAAATGTCACTTCAGAGCTGTACACACTGTATACTGTCAAATATTTTCCTTCTTTAATACTGGTATATGTCTTGGGTTACCTGCTAAGCTCGATCTACCCAAATCCAATATCGTGCAGTTAGCCTATGGAATTTTTTGTTGGAGGGGGCATCAGAGACCAATGTAAAAGTAGAAGGGTCAGTGCCGTGCAGTTGTGAATCTATCAGAATCAGATGAAAAATTGAAATAGTTGGATTTTGATTGATATGGGAGGAGTGGGAGTCATTTTGGCCTTGACAAGTCTCCAAACCCGTCATGCTTGGTTTCAGAGTACGAGAAAAAAAAACAACAACTTTACAGGCATCACTGCGACAGGGTGTGAAAGCATCGGAATCGGCCACATGTGACACGCTCTGAAAAGAAGGTAGATAATGTTGCAAAAATGAAAAAAAAAAGACGTATATGCACGGATGAAAGTGTCAGCTTTCATTTGGTCTATGGCACAGGGTAATAGCCCATTCCATTCAGCAGACGTTTTCTCATAGCAGTTCTATGGAGTTCAACTTAATAGAAAACAGGCTTTGAAAAAAAAGTTGATTCTAATACAGACTTTGGCTTGGAAGGCTCACCTGAAATCTTCCTGGCAATGAACATGTGCACTTTGGACATTTTTTTTTTCATGAAACATGAAACTTTAGAGACTATTAAATATGTTCTTTCTGACCAACAAAATTGAAATTTCATGAGAAACTGCCCTAAGTCAGAGTGGACCAATGCACACAAAGGCAAAGCATCATTTTTTATCATTTTTCCCGGAGCGGGTCACATGTGCGATTGACTCAGATGGAACTGAAGTGAAATTGGTTCCATTGATTGTTTTCCTTCTACTGGGGAAAGTCTCAGTGACATACATGTACATGTACATACATTATAGCCAGCCTTTCTGTGGCATGAAACGGCTGTACAAAGGACCACAGTTTAAGGTATCATAGTTCAGTTCAGGAATGACGTTGCAGCATTCAAATTCTTAATGTCCGATGCCGGCCTTGCTGTGTCCTGGCAACAGATGGACACAATTTTTTCCGATGTAGATTTTGGCCAGGCACTGTTTCAAGAGGAAGAGCAGAGAAAAGACCACATACATATTCATTAAGTGCTTCTGAACAAAACATAGCACCAAACGTAATTTCTCGATAGCTTGACAATTTTTCGTAGATTTTCAAACACTGATAAGTTCAATCATTCTCAAAAAACCCCCCAATATAAAAAAAACAACCCCATCAGCCACATCCTTTGCACCAACTTATAGCCCTAATCAAGTCCCACATGACATAACAGTTTGTAAACCATTTGTATGGATTTTGAAAGATCCGGAAACAAGTGCCTCACCTGCTATTCCTTGTTCAGTTTGTAGATGCCGTAGCCTAGTGTGAGGAGCGACAAAATCATGATTGTCCGGAACACCCTATTCGATGATCCAAAGTACTCCTTGATGGCAGTCTGGAAAAGTGGCAAAGTAGCAAAGTAGCATGAGCTAAAATCATTAGCACTTGCCTGGTAACGTACCAAGTTCCATTCAGATTGCTTGGCTATGGTTGGGAATGA